CTAGCTATGGAGGAGGCTGGGCAAGAGGATCACAGATTTAAGGACAGCCTAGGTAAGATAATGAAACCTCCTCCAAATAAAAATTAACATGATTCTAGATACCATAAAAGACATTTTATACTGAAAAACAGTCGGTCAGGAAGTTATTAAAAGTGCCAACATACATGTATCTAACAAATGAGCCAGCTGGGCGGTGGTGGCGCACGCCTTTAATCCCAGCACTCGGGAGGCAGAGGCAGGTGGATCTCTGTGAGTTCGAGGCCAGCCTGGTCTACAAGAGCTAGTTCCAGGACAGGAACCAAAAGCTATGGAGAAACCCTGTCTCGAAAAATCCAAAAACAAAACAAAACAAAACAAATGAGCCTTAAATACGTGAAACAAAAAAAACAAAAACTTAACGAGTTCATGGGAAATAGACAACTCAACCCAGGCTGAGGGGGCGCATGCCTACAATCCCAGCGCAGGCAGGAGGATCTTTGGACTATACAGAATCCATTAGATAAGTCGACAGATAGATGATAGACAGGGTGTGTGCATCTCACCGAATTTGAGGGCCATTCGTATCGAAATTTACTGAAGCTTGTTTTCTGGTTTAGCCTATGGCTGACCCTGGAAAATGGCCCAGGTGTACATAAAAGGTACATGGTTATACTGTTATATGTTATACGTTATGCATGCTTACACTGGGTGGAAATGATTTACAGTTTACAAATCTGTGCATTTACTGATTTCCTGTGGAGTGTTCTATTCACTATTGAAAACGGGATACTGGACTCCAATTACAATTTTATACATGTATTTACCCGTGTGTGTGTGTGTGTGAGAGAGAGAGAGAGAGAGAGACAGAGAGAGACAGAGAGAGAGAGAGAGAGGGAGAGAGAGAGACAGAGACAGAGACAGAGACAGAGAATGTTGTGCCATTTTGTACATATGGAGGTCAGAGGACAAGCTGTGGGAATCAGTCCTCCCTATGCACTAGGAAGGTTCTGGGGAACTGACTCAGGTTATTGTTTGGTACTGCAGCAATATATTGCCCTGGAACTCCTTATGTAGACCAGGCTGGCCTCAAACTCGCAGAGATCCACCTGCCTCGGCCTCCTGTGTGGTTGGCACTAAAGGCACCACTGTGCCTGGCTTGATACAAGTTCTTAGTGCAGTACTAAAACCATGATTACCAGAAGGAAACCTGCTAAGTTAATTGGAGCATACCAAAATTAAATATATATATCAATATGAAGATATATAAATATGAAGATATATAAATATGAAGATATACCAATATGAAGATGAAAAACCTCATCTTGGGAGCAAATATTCACAAATCCCGTATCTGATAAATATATAAGCCAGATGAGCTGTCAGAGGTATATAATTCTAGCATTTGGGAATCCACGGCAGGAGGATCATAAGTTCAAGACAGCTACATAGCAAGTTCCGTTGTGAGCTACGTTGTGAGACATGCTGAGATGCTATCTCAAAATAACAACAACAACAACAACAACAAGACTTTTTTTAAGGGGCATATCCAAAAGATACCAAGTAATAAGATTTTGGTTTTGTTTTTTGTTTTTTGACACAGGGTTTCTCTGTAGCTTTGGAGCTAGGAGGCTCTGACTTTGCAAACTTCATTTTAAAGAAGGGGCTTCATCTTAAGCCACATAATGAGCTGGGGGGCGGGCGATCTCAGCCCCAGAAATGTGCTGCCACAGCAAGAATTTGAACAGATACCCTAAAAATGGCCAATTAAGAAGATAGGGAGCAAGTTATAAAATTTAACGAGGTCCGGATGCGCCTAGGAGGCATCCTGCCCTTGAAGACACCTTGTCAGTTATTAATGGCTCTTTGTTAGGTTTTTGCGTCCAAAACCTTACCAGTGATTTCAGAAACTACCTTACCCAATACCCTTCTTAGCCAATCCCAAGACGACAGGACATGAACGCCCCTGAATTCGTCATTTCCCCCTTAAAAGTTCTACCCTCCCAGGGCTCCTTGCCACACTTTCTGCACCCACCATGCTGGGGTGCTGGAAAGGAGTTGGTCCAAACTTGAGTTTGAATATAAAATCCTTCATGTAATTTGCATCATCGGAAATCCAGGTCCATGAATATCATTTGGCGACCAGAAACTTGGGCATAACAGAGCCTGTCCTGGAACTCACTCCGTAGACCAGGCTGGCCTTGAATTCCCAGAGATTCCCAGGTCTGCGCTTCCCGAGTGCTGATAATAAGACTTAGGAATGTAGCAGTACAGTCCCTGCTTTGAACATCTGAAGATGGAAACCTGTAAGGTATTGCTGAGTGGTCAGGCGCTGGTTAGGACTTGAGAGCAGATTTGGGGGCTGTGAGGCCCTCCCTTAGCTCCTTCAAAAATGCCCTGGATGACTGGCTTCAGTCACAAGGAGAGCCAACAACAGCAAAACACCCCGAGAGTAAGCAGACCCTGCCCTCGAGGAAGCCAATTCGACAGGCTCCAATGTTTACCCCGTGGTATAAAAAAGGCCCTCAGTAGAAAGGCAGCCTGGAAATTCAGATGCGGAGAGAGCGCGCAAAGCGAAACTCAGCTTCCTTAGGAGATTGCTGGTGATGTTGCAAGCCCTAATTGGGTGATGTTTCCACGGTTTGCTTTCCCTTTCTTGGGGGGTGGGAGGGAGATGAAACCAGAGCTTTCTATGTAGACCAGGGTAGTCTGGGATTACAGGTTTGGCCGCCACTCCTGGGTTTGGTTTGCTCTTCAGTCAGGCGCTCTCTCTCTGCTGGATGTGGTAAACTGATGGGATGTTTTGCTGTCTGTGACGCTTCTAGCTACCTGCTCCTACTATTTCTTCCCCTTTGCTTGCTGCTTGTCTAAGAAGCTCACTCATTAGAAACGGAAAGCACAGCTATCATAGATCATTCTCCAGACAGTACAGAACAAAATGTATAGGAATCCCGCTGGGAATAGTCTGAGGACAATTTTAAAGACAATTTAAAGTACAGTTAAAAAATAAAAGGGGAGCCGGGCGATGGTCGCGCACGCCTTTAATCCCAGCACTCGGGAGGCAGAGGCAGGCGGATCTCTGTGAGTTCGAGACCAGCCTGGTCTACAGAGCTAGTTCCAGGACAGGCTCCAAAGCCACAGAGAAACCCTGTCTCAAAAAACAAAAACAAAAACAAAAAAATAATAATAAAAGGGGCTGGAGGGAGGGCTCGGTAGTTAAGACCACTGTCTGCTCTTGTAAAGATACCAGTTTCAATTCCGGGGACCCACACAGAGCTCATCCGTAACTCCAGTTCTGGAGGGTTCTAATGCCCTCTGCTGGCCTCCTTGGGCACCAAGCATGCAGGCATGTGGTGCGCAGACACACATGTATGCAAAACATCGGTACATATAAAGATAGAATAATGCAAAGTTTATAGACAAATAAAAGATGAACTGGACGTGGTGGCATACATTTGCAGTCCTAGGACTCAGGAGGTAGAGAAGATTGAGAGTTCAAAGTCACCCTTAGCTACTTAGGAAGTTCAAGGCCAGCCCAGAACATATGAGACTCTGTCTCAAAAAATAAAAACAAAAGTCAAGGAAAAATGAAAGATGCAAAAGATCAAGTATTTAATAGATATTTTCACCAAATCAGAGTGGCTGAAAAGCACGTGTAATTTGGCCTCATTATTTATTAGGGATGTGAAGTGTAAACCTGCAGGAAATACCTCTTCGTTAATGCAGGAAATACCCCTTCGTTAATGCTACCTCTTTGCTAATAAAAGAGAGTAATGAGTGCCAAGGATGCAGCAAGGCTAGAATGCAAAACTGCGAAGCGCTTAGAAAACAGATGTTCTGTTTGTCCACAAGTACTGTACAGGCATACACACAAACATGTGCTTCACAGAAACATGTATGCTTATAGCAGTAGTATTCAGGAAAGTCAAATGAGGAAAGCATTCAAATATCCCCCAATTGGAACACATCTGACAACTACATACAAGGCTCAGCATAGAGGAGCAGATTGTCTGTGTTCCCTACGACACGGCTAAAGAAGCATTAGTTTGCCTGGAAGAAGGCAGGCAGGACAGTCCGTCCACAGCATCTAGGTATAGTAGCTCACATCTGTAATCCCCACACTTAGAAGGCTGTAACAGGAGAATCGCGAGCTCCTGGCCAGCCTGGATTGCATAGCAACACTTTGTCTCAACAAAACAATACAAAAACCTACATATGATCTGTTTATATAATCCAAATAACTTTATTGAGACAAAATTAATTAATAGTTGTTGAGGACTGTGGCCACGAATAAAGTCTGTCTACACATGAGCACAGATTTTTTTTAATGGCTTTTTGAGGCAGGGTTTCTCTTTTTTTTTTTTTTTTTGTTTTGTTTTTGGTTTTTCGAGACAGGGTTTCTCTGTAGCTTTGGAGCCTGTCCTGGAACTTGCTCTGTAGACCAGACTGGCCTCAACCTCACAGAGATCCTCCTGCCTCTGCCTCCTGAGTGCTGGGATTAAATGCATGCGCCACCACCACCTGAGCATAGATCTTTTTGGATAATGAAAATGCTTTAAAATCAGACTGTCATGGGCTGGGGGTGTGGCCAGTGATATATTAGCAAGTATGAGGCTCTGCGTTCAACCTCCAGTGTCACCACCGATCAGGAAACGGCAATGATCACACCACAACTCTGAGAGTTTAAGGAAATAATTGTGCACTTGACACAGGTGCCTTTTATGGAATGCAAATTATACCTCAATAAAGATGTATTTAAAATTTTTGATTATTATTATTTTATGTGTATGAGGTTTTTGTCTGAATATATATTTGTGTGCCATGTACATGCAGTGCCTAAGGAAGCCAAAAGAAGACTGTTCCCATGGCACCACAGCTGCCATGTTGGTGCTGGGAATGGAACCCAGGTCCTCTGGAAGAACACCTAGTGCTCTTAACCACTGAGCCATCTCTCCAGTTGCCAACAGAGCAGTGTTTTTGTAAAAGGTTAAGTCCCATTTCTAAGTATTACAAAGTACACTTACATAATTTTTTCTTTTGTCTCTTCCTGTCTTCAAAAAGCGACACAGTGATTTGACACAGAGTGTTGACATTGCTGTCAATGTTTTTCAGTGTTTCCGGCATGATTTCCATTTCTGCAGCCCAGTGGTGGTAATCCTCAATATCAATCTCGGCCACCTCAGACAGAATGAAATCTTGAAGAGAGAAAGAAAACCATCTTACAGAAGAAACAACACAGTTATATCCATAGGGGCTTCTGGCATATACAACATGGTTCCTTTGGGGAATAGAGATTTCTTGTGCTGCCCTGAAGCTTTTCTCTGTTAAGTGATTATACAGGAAGAGAACTGGAAGACCATAGAAGCCCTAATGTTAAATCAGCAAGTTAAGAGAATATCAGCCAGGTTAAAGCCCAGGGTTTGTTTCCCCCATTTGGTCCAGTCTTGCCTTCTTCATCTGGTTTAACTTCTTACTCTGTCATTAATTTCCTTCCTTCCCTTGGAAACTATTAGACACTTACTCCATTCTTCTAGCCAGGACAACAGTTTGATGAGGATCCTTTCTCTCATATCAATCATATTCATATATTCAGCTATCTTCTCTAAGAAAATCTTTCTCTTCTTTTTCTGGTTTTCTGTGAGGGAGCCCTTCCTCCCAGGGGATGAGCAGTCGATCGTGTAACGAGTCATTATCAGCTCCACTTTGTTCATTATTTGAATCAGCCGTGTAAGAATATCCTATAAAAAGGAGGAATAATACATTAGTTTGTGTGGTGGTTTGAATAAAAGGGTCCCCATAGGTCCATAGGGAGAGGCAGTGTAGAAGGTGTGGTCTTGATAGAATAGGTGTGACCTTGTTGGAGGAAGGGCATCACTAGGGGGCGGGCTTTGAGGCCTAGTATGTCTCTGTCTCTTCCTACTTCCTGTGAATTCAGAGGCAGAACTCTCAGGGGCCTCTCCAGCACCATGTCTGCCTGTGCCACCATGCTTCCTGCCATGATGACAATGGAATAAATCTCTGCACCCAACTAAACGTTTTCCTTTATAAGAGTTGCTGTGGTCATCCTGTCTCGTCACAGCAATAGAAACCCTAACAAAGACAGAAGTTGCTACCAGGTATTCTGCTATTGCTGTGATAGGCCTGGTTATACTTTTATTTAGAGGAATGTAGATGGGGCTTGGAACTAGAAAAGCAGTTGAACACTTTAAGTAGGTTTGATGGGCCATACTAGTGGGAGCATGGAAGACAGTGGTGCTGCGGGTGATTTGAACTGTGGGGGTCTAGTTCAAGAGATTTCAGAGAAGAACTTTAGTATGTTTCCTAGAGCTTGTTCTTATGATATTTTGGTGAAGAATGTGGTTGGTTTTTGCTCATATAAAATATTTAATTCACAAAAAAAAATCTCCAGTAACCTTGACTATCAAACAGTCTTGAAGATCGTTGGAGGTTGTCTCTTCAGAACAGCAGGTGTATGACAGAGCCATACAAATCAAGTCCTGCCACAAGTGAGACAAGCCAACTATAGCCTGAAACAGAGAGGTCAAGGTTGAGAATGCACAGTCAGATCAACCCAAGACTGCCTGATGGGAAAGCAATTTTTTTTTTAAAAAAAGCTTTATTTATTCATTTAAAAAATATTTATTTATTTATTATGTATATCATGTTCTGGCTGTGTGTATGCTTGCATCCACAAGAGGGTGCCAGATATCATTACAAATGATTGTGAGACTCATGTGGTTGCTGAGAATTGAACCCAGGACCTCTAGAAGCTCTTAACAGCTTAACAGTCAGTGCTCTTAACAGCTGACCCATCTCTCTAGCTCGGAAAAAGCAATTTTTAAAAAGATGATATAAGCCAGGTGGTAGTGACGCACGCCTTTAATCCCAGCACTCGGGAGGCAGAGGCAGGCGGATCTCTGTGAGTTTGAGACCAGCCTGGTCTACAAGAGCTAGTTCCAGGACAGGCTCCAAAACCACAGAGAAACCCTGTCTCGAAAAACCAATAAATAAATAAATAAATAAATAAGATGATATAAGGAAAACATGTAAATGATTCCATTGGATTCTTACCTTATAATATATAAATTTAACTCAAAATAGATTAAAAACTTAAATGTAAGGTATATATAAAGCTACAAAATAATTAGAAGAAAATATAGAGAAAAACATTTTTTTCTGGTCTTCAAGACAGGGTTTCTCTGTGTAGCCCTGGCTGTCCTGGAACTCTAATCTGTAGACCAGGCTGGCCTTGAATTTACAGATCCGTCTGCCTCTGCTGGGATTAAAGGCGTGCACCAACACGGCCTGGCCGTCCTCTGTTTCTTTTTTTTTTTTTTTTTAGTTTTTTTTTTTCGAGACAGGGTTTCTCTGTGGCTTTGGAGCCTGTCCTGGAACTAGCTCTGTAGACCAGGCTGGTCTCGAACTCACAGAGATCCGCCTGCCTCTGCCTCCCGAGTGCTGGGATTAAAGGCGTGCGCCACCATCGCCTGGCCGTCCTCTGTTTCTTGAGAGCTGGATTTATAGGTGTGTGCCACCACCATGTGATCCAGCAATTCTTCCATGAATAGAACATGGGAAACATGTGACATGCTACCGGTTATTAACGGCTTACTAACCAGGCATGGTGGCACAGCACTTTAATCCCAGTACTTGAGAGGCAGAGACAGAAAGATCTTTTTGAGTTTGACACTAACCTGCTGGTCTACAGAGTGAGACCCAGAACAGCCAAGGGTACATAAAATGGCCCCATCTCAAAACTAACTAGACAGACAGACAGTGAGGTGGTTTGAAAGAAAATGGCCCCCAAAGGGAGAGGCACTATTAGGAGGTGTGGCCTTGTTGAGGAAGTGTGCTACTGTAGGGGTGGGCTTTGAGGTCTCTTGTTCAAGCTTCCTTCAGTGTGACTTTCAGCTGATTCTTGTTACCTGCGAGATGTAGAACTCTCAAGGTAGTAGATGCAGTACCTTGTCTACCTGCATGCCACCATGCTCCCTGCCATGATGATAATGGACTGAATCTCTGAAACTGTAAGCAAGCCACACCAATTAAATGTTTTCTTTATAAGAGTTGCCATGGTCATGGTGTCTCTTCACAGCAATAAAAACCTTAAGATAGATAGGTAGATAGGTCGGTAAGCAGGCAGGCTGATAGACAGACAGACAGGCAGATGACAGACAGACACTCTCTATGAGTGGAAAGAGTAAAGTCCAAGCAAAGACTCGTGTGAAGCAGGATGAACCCAGAGATGAACATAGCAGTTCATCAACACCAAATGGCAGTTCCGTGCCCACTTCCTACAGAAGACACTGTTAAAGGTTGCTGGGCCTTGTGTCTCAGGAGCTTCCCCTTCTCAATGCCCAGGACAACTACTATGGATTTTATTTTCTCCAGTTTTAGCCGTGTAATAAACTGAAAAAAAAAATTACCTTTACCTACTTTGTCCCCATTACCCAATGGGGAAACTGAAAATTTCACTTTGCATGAAAATATTCCATGTAATTCCCTAGGATTGGAATGCAGCCTGGCAGACTGCTTACCTGGCATTTACATGAAGCTCTGGGTTCCATCCCCAGCAACACAGAAAACCAAGTGTGGTGATTCACTCCTGTAATCCCAGCACTTGGGAGATAATAGCAAAAGGATTAGAAGTGTGAGGTCATCTGTGGCTACAAAGTGAGTTAGAGGCCAGCCTGGGCTACATGAGGCCAGTGTGGGTTAACATGAGAACCTATCTCAAAACACGGGGGTGGGGGATATTCATTAATTATTTTGTATTTTGGACACGATCTAATATGACATAGGAGCCCTTCTAAGGATGATGTGGCAGGTTTCTGTAGACACACGGTGTGCAGTGAGGATGAAGCTCAAGGAGACGGGAAGACTGTGTGTTGAGACCAATAGACACCTAAGGAGTTAAGACCCCACCAGGTGGTGGTGGCCCACACCTTTAATCCCAGCACTCGAGAGGCAGAGGCTTTAAGAGACAAGCGATGCCCACTCCCTCCACCTTCTGCTGAGGCAGGCTGATCTTCTACCTGCCTTCATGATAAAGGTGCTGAAGAAACTAGGACTGGAAGGAATGTACCCTGATACAACAGCACATGTCTGAGAAACCTGTAGCCAACATTATACTAAATGGAGAAAAACATGAGGAAAGCATTTCCTGTAAAATCTAAGAGTCAGCCGGGCAGTGGTGGCGCATGCCTTTAATCCCAGCACTCGGGAGGCAGAGGCAGGCGGATCTCTGTGAGTTCGAGACCAGCCTGGTCTTCAAGAGCTAGTTCCAGGACAGGCTCCAAAACCACAGAGAAACCCTGTCTCGAAAAAACCAAAAAAAAAAAAAAAAAACCAAAAAAAAAACCCTAAGAGTCAAAGTGCTCACTGTATATGCTCTGGTCAACATATTGTGTACATTCTTAGCTGGAGCAATTAGCCAAGAGGAAGAGAAGGGATCCATGGTGGTTTGACTGAGAATGGCCCCCATAGGCTCATATATTTGAATGCTGGTTACTAGTTGGTTTTGGGGGATTAAGAGATGTGGCCTTGTTGCAGCAGGTGTATCACTGGGAATGGGCTTAGGCCCAGTCTCACTTCTGCCACAATTGCTGCCTCAACTTATGTTCTCAGCGGCTTCTCCACCACTATGCCTGCATTACTGCCGCCATGTTCCCACCTTATTGGTCATGGATTCACCTTCTGAAACTGCAAACAAGCCCCCCAACTAAATGCTTCCTTTTATAACCTGTTTTGGTCTTGGTGTCTCTTTGTAGCAACGGAAGACCCGCAAAGTTAGGATACAAATAGGAAAGGGAGAATTCCTACTATCTCTAGTCAAAGAGGCCATGGTACTGCAAGACTATACAGAATCCGCCAGAACAGGCTCCGCTGGATCTGATAAGTACTTCCAGCAAAGTTGCAGAAATCAAATTAACGTACAAAATACAAAACTCAATAGCTTTTCTACATACCAGTGTTGGGGAATATTATTTTAAGATGTGTTACATTTATTTATGAGGCAGAACATTTGTTTAATGATGCAAAGATGTGTTGCATTCTTTTATGTTGTATTTGATTAACTCTGTAAAGCTGTGTTCCTTTGCCTGCCTGAAACACCTGATTGATCTAATAAAGAGCTGAATGGCCAATAGCAAGGAAGGAGAAAGGACAGGCCGGACTGGCAGGCAGAGAGAATGAATATGAGAAATCTGGGGAGTGGAGAAGAGTGAGAAAAGAAGGAGCCAACTGCATGAAAATAGAAGCAAGTGGATCTCTGTGAGTCTGAGAGCAACCTGGTTTACAGAGTGAGTTTTAGAAAAAAAAAAAAACAAATTCTTTTGTTTGATGGAGAAAGGTCATTGGCTAATAAAGGAACCACCTTGGCCCATTTTATTGGTTAGAGGATAGGTGGGAGGAGAAAACAGGACAGAACGCTGGGAGGAAGAGGAAGTGAGATCAGAGACTCGACAGCTCTCTCGGGAGCAGACGCCTGAGAGAGATGCCATGCCCCACTCCCGGGATGAAGCTCCGACCCAGGATGGACTAGGCTAGAATCTCCCCGGTAAGCGCACCTTGGGGTGCTACACACAGATGATTAGGAATGGGCTAAATTAATATGTGAGAATTAGCATAGAAGAGAATGGGCCAGGCAGTGTTTAAATGAATACAGTTTGTGTGTTGTTATTTCGGGGCATAAGCTAGCAGAGCAGACAGCCGGGGTGCTGGGGACGCAGCCACGCCG